AGGCTTTCATTGTATTTGTTAACAACAACTTTCTCTCCACAAGATTTCACTTTAGAGATCACTTGAAGAGAAATAAAACGTTATATATTTTTAAGTGAATTAAACGAAATTTCTTTTCGCAACAAAATAGTTCACAAAAAATATCTTAACTCGATTTGAGCCCAAATACTCGGCACTCGTATGTAAGCGCAGGTAAGCGCCGACACAACACCACAACTCTCCCATACATACAATACACTGGGGTTTAGTAGAAAATCTGTAGTAAAAAGAGAGTGAAATAAAAAATTTTTGTCAATCGATGCGAACATAATTTGCATGCAATTGAGACACCGGTTTGTGACTGAAATGATAGACATATATTCAGGTATACAACGGGAATATAATTGAATTTAATTTTTTTGTGGTACTTTTTTAAGCATGTTTTTTTAATGTCACCGGCCTTTGCAGGACAGGTCTCTCTTTCCCTCCCTTTCTCTATGTCTGTGTGTCTATTGAATGTGTGGTCACTTATGTCAAAGTCCATTAAGAGGAACAGTGGCCTCAATGGCACTGCATTTCCATTTGCAACGATTTAAAAGTGAATTCACTTATTCTTTGAGTGTTTTTCAATTTAAATCATTTAAATCTCTATAAAAAGGTTTTTTGACCAAAATATTTGCCACAACTTTCCTAATGCTTGTAAACAAGGAAAACAATTTGTAAATTTAAAACTGAATTTTTATTTTATATTAATTTATTATTTATATTAACAGTTGTATTGACATTTAAATTAGAAAAACAATAATTTAGCTTTAATTACGGTAATAACATTTAAATAGTAAGCATATTTAGATCGAAAAAATACTGTCCTGGTAATTTGAAGGTTTTGTATCCTATAAAAAATATAAAAACAACATTAAAAACATAAAAAATGAATTAATCCATAATTAAATTTACATCAAATTGTAAAACGTGTTGTTGAAAGAGGGAATCGTTGAGATTGAATGACCAGCTCTTTGCGGCCAAATCTTTCTGGCGTTGTTGTAATTCATTGATTGGCTCATTGAGTGATAATTCGGGATCTTTGCCCACAAATTCAATGCACTTGTCGTCGCACATGAATGCCGATAATGTGAGCAAAATAGTTGACGCCGTATAGGCACAGCTCCACAAATCGGGATACACGTCACTAATGCCCGGAATACCTAATTTGGTTGCAGTACTGAATTTACCCGATGGGGTCCTCATGTATATGGCCGGCGCCGCGAAGGGGTAACTCTTTGGATAATACAAAGTACCGAAGTATGTGCCGCCCGAAAAGGGTGTGTCCGACGGACCCAACAACACGTATACCCTAAACGTAAAATAAGTCGGTTTTATAAACTATATTATGTTGAAAGTAAAGTTAATGAATTGTATATTTATTTAATTTACTTAAAGTAAAATATTAATAAATATTTGCTAAAAATCAAACCATTGAAAATAGTTGTCTTCGATTGGATGTGCAATGATATTGTCGATCGGATTTCTCAACAGATCTTTGTATTCCTTCTCTAGACGAGTGGCCGAAAGGTTAGTCCTCGGGATTGTCTGAGAATTCATTTCATAAGTTGTATTACTTTTTTGGCGTCAATTAATGCAAATAAAATGGATGCAAAACATGCTTTTTGTTATAACTGTTGTACTGAAAAGCATTTATAATTTAAATGAATTTTTATGGCAATGATTTGCATTTTAATATAACTTATTTATTAATGGATTAGAAATACATGTCATGACTTTTGACAGATAAACTATTAGAATATCTTTATCTGAGTTGAGAATTTTACCCTCTCTCTCTCTCTCTCTCTCAGAAAATAAAAGTTACTTTACTATTAATATGCAATTGGAGTGCATACAAAAATAATGGTTGTGATAGCAATAGTATAAAGTAATTTAAAATTAATTTTATTTCTAGTGCCACATCTTTGCAACTGCCCTTTAAACGAACGGTCGACAGTTTCGGTTAGGCTACCCAATACAATGCCACCCCCAGTGCCCATCACTTCGGACATTGGCGCTCAATCCATTTACAAATATTTTACAATACATTAGATTTTATTTATATAATAGTTATTTAAACATCGGTTTAGATTAATGAAGAAAAAATAATTATAATTGTCATTAAATTGAATAATTAAATATTGAAAATTTTCATCAAAAATATTATCCCATAACTTCTATATTGCAATTCTTCGTTTCGCTTCCTATAATAAACATGAAACACATAATTAAGAAAAACTAAACAACAAAACAATGAACGCATAAATACATCGACGAGTTGTGGAAACTGTGCGCAAAAGTGGGGATCATTGAGATTGAATGACCAGCTCTTGGCGGCCAACTCTCTCTGGCGTCGCTCTAATTGGTCGATCGGCAGCCATAGTGAGGCCGGATCGTAGCCCGGAAATGGACAGCTCTTGTCGTCCCACATGAATACGGCTAACGTAAACAAAATAAGAGACACCGTATTTCCCAACCACCAGCCCTCGGGCGCCACATCACTGATACCCGGAATACCCAGCTTTTCGGTTGTACTGAATTTACCCGATGGGGTCGTCATGTATATCGCCGGCGCGTGAAATGGGAAATCGTAAGGATAGCATAGTTTGCCATAATATATGCCTCCATTAAAGGGGGTGTCCGGCAAACCTCTCAACACATATACCCTTAAAAATTTTAAGTAAAAATATAGCAATAATTAATATAATAGTTTATAACACAAATATTTATATAACAATTAATAAATTGAAAAAACTAACCATTCAAATAAGTTATTATCGATGGGATGTGCGATGATATTGTCAATCGGATCAATCAATAGCCTGTAATATTCATTAATCAGGCGCTTGACCACAACGGGTCGGGGATAACAAATTGTCTGATCATTCATTTAATTAGTGCTTTTGAGATCAAGTATTGCTCTATAATACACAGTCTATCAATGCATAGAGATATGAAATATAACATTGTCATAATGAGTATATTTTGTGTAATAAATGCTATTTATTTGAATTTAATTTACTCATCAATTATTGATAGAGTATTTTGAGTTAAACCCTTATTAAATGTATTTCATATTCTGACACATTTGTTATATTTCTCCATAAAAATGTTGACTTTATTAAAACATTTTGTACCCAAACTCATGCACACTCTCACACATACAAATGGATGGTAACTTACGTATATTGGAGTTGATTAATAAAAGCAATGATTAATACAGTACAGTATATCAATTTAAATTGAGTTTAAAGTTGATTTTGCAAAGTAATTACCGGTACATTATTAATTACCAAGCAATTTTAATTTTTGATTTACAATATTTATTTGGTCAAAATATTGGCCAAAGATAGCAAATAATTAGACAATTTATAATCAAAATAATTTTTATTAATTATTTCCGTATTTACGGCCAATTAAACGTCGATATAATTAGGAACAAACAAAATACAAATTATAATCACATTTTGTGAACAATATATTATCAAAAAAATAATTATCAAAAATTCTACGAAAATAAGGGCTAATTCGCGCTCCGATTCTTTGCCTCCTATAATAAACACAAACATAAGAAATTTAAAAAAAAACAATGTAAACAACAAAAACATATAATGAGTAAATAAATACATCGATGAATTGGGGAAAGTATTGGCGAAATAACGGCTCATTGAGAGCGAAGGACCAGCTCTTGGCGGCCAACTCTGCCTGACGTGCTTTGATTGTGTCGGCCGACAGTCGGAATATCTCGGGGTCCTGTCCGGAGAAGGCGCCGCACTTGTCATCGGCCATAAAACTAAATAAACTCAACAAAATAGTGGACACAGTGTTAACTGAAGTCCACGTCTCGGGATGCATATCACTGATGCCCGAAATGCACAGCTTTTCACTTGTGCTGAATTTGCCCGACGGGGTCTTCATATGGATGGCGGGCCCGTCCAGAGGGTAGTTCCCGGGGAACGATAGCGAACCCAAATAGATACCGCCCGAAAAGGCCGTCTCTGTCGGCCCCCTAAACACATAGACCCTAAATATATTGCATAACAATATATATGGAGATTAGATATATTGAGCGCAGCATTAGGTTTACTTTACAATTACATGATATGCGATACCTGTTATTATTAGACAAACAATTATTTAAGCGCAAAACAATTTTAATTAAAAAATCTAGTTATTTAAGGCCCAAAACAAACCATTCAAATATGTTATCTTCGATGGGATGCGCGACAATGTTGTCGAGCGGTTCCTCTATTAGTTGCATATAGTCTTTCTGGAGGCGATTAATAGCCTGAGGCGATGGTGTGGTCGGCGGCATAATTGTCTCAATTGGTTTCACCATCTAATCAATGGTACTATACTTTTAATGACAATTATTGCAATTGTGTGAATCACATGCAAATACAGTTGATTTTTGTAGAAAAGTAATGCATGTAGATTCTGACCATGTGCTTTTCAAGTTTTTATTTTAACAAAAAAAAAAAATTACATTCATAAATTATGTATTATTTGTATTATAAAATTATTTATTAATGATGTTAAAGAGAAAAAATTGTTTCGCTTTTTCTCACTCATTATACAACTATTGTAATTATGATCGCTCGAGGTAACCAATTTTACGGAGATGTAAGGCAATTCACCTATTTCATAACTGCAGTTATGGTATGTAAATAATTGCATAAGGTATATTAATTTGTATGCAAATAGTAACTATTTTAGCATGATTAGGTGAAAATGACTTAATATATTGCATTATAATAAAACAATATTACTGTGATTAACAAGTATTGCATTAATCTATAAATATAAAAGATATGTAAGAATTGATGTAGAATTCAGTGCATGTTATTTGTATGTGAGTTAAAACAGTTAACAAATAGTTATGTTTGTGGAAAACAAAAAGGATGTAAAGTTTGACAAACAGTTAGCAAAACAACAGTGAGATTAAGAGGAATGAGAGGAATGTTTTGGACACAAATATTTCACGAACTGGTGGTTAGTTAATCGCATAACCGGCCAAAACATCTGCTCCCCATGTCTTACATACATGTGTCCATGTATTTAGCGTTTGAGCTAAAGAAAGAGTAGTTACAGCAGAGAGAGAGCCGGGAAATCGATTTTTGCAATTCATAGACACCAATCAATAGGAGAGATGTTTTGGCAAAAACATAATATAACCGAGAGTTTGATAAAAATCAGAGCCGAGGACGACGACCACCTCTCTCGTCATACCTCCGTTTTATAGTCTTCTTGCGTCGGAATCTATGAGAGAATATATAAAAAGTGGAGAAGTATTCTCCAGAGCTGCTCCTCCAGTCTGTCAGTGCCTCTCAACTCATCAATAAGTGTTGGGCGGTTAGCGTCTGACCACTACTGGCGCTCTGCTATACAGTATGCGAATGTATATACAGTACTCGCGAGAGAGAGCACGCGATTAACTGCCAAACCCTGATTTGCCTAATCATTAAATAGAAAGGAAAAGAGCACCGGGAAGAGAGAGAGAGAGAGAGAGAGACCTAATATTAACTGGATTTCTATATTTACACGTATTTCGCTAATAATAGAGTGAATGTTCACTAAACTAACAATTGAGACATTAAAAGCCAAAATCGCTTCTTTCAATGCTATCCAATGCTCTCTTTGTGTGCTATTATTTCTTGTGATATATTTTGTCTTATCATGAAATCGACTCAAAAACGATAACAAACAATAAATTCTCACATGAATTGTTTGTATGGATCGGTATATAATATATCACTACTTAAACACTACTTTAAAGTTTGTGTTTATATTGAGTGCTCTATTATAACGAGAATTAGTTTACGAGAAGCTGTACTGTGAGAGTGTATCAAATTATCTCTCTCTCTCTCTCTCTCTCCCTTCATCCCAACCCTCCAAACACTTTATACAACACAAGTGTAGGAAAAGCATTAAAAAATACAATCTTCTAATAATTATCTGCGAAAATAATAATTTCTAATAACGTATAACTTAAGGCTATATCACTGGCAAAACCCATATTTGCCAAAACTATATATTCTTCATTAATATCTATAGTAAACTCATTTTTTAAATCCAAAATATGGTTTATATTTTGTGTTTGTTATCAACAAAGGTATCATATCATCAGATGGTTGCCATCAACTGTATTTACAATTCAATTATTATATGAAACATTGTATTAAAATGAATGGCCAACAGAATTGACCAATAATATAAAATACAATATAAGACACACGCAAACACACAACTGATAAACAATTTTTTCATTAATATTTTGTTCAAATAATAATTGCTATTTATATGTTCAAAGAATGAGAAAAATGAACGGTTTATTTAACACTATCATTACCGAGGGGAAAAAATAACTATCGTTTACTGTTACATATTGTATACCTGTAAAGGTATATAATGTATACTTTACTACTATTTTCCAACAACCGATAGTAATGTGTAGTGTTTTTTGAAGCATCGATATTGACTTTTTGGGTGTTTTCCGTCAATAAATCCATTGATTATATTGTATGCGAAGAAGAAGTGGCGGAAAGAAGACAACTGAAGAAGTAATAGCCAAAGAGGAATACAATGAAAATTATAGTCCAATACAATAGGAATGTTCACTAATAGTGTGGACGAAGAGATATTAAGGGGATTGATAGGGAAGGGCTGTCGGGGTATCGCATAAGTCTAGACAATGTTTAATTAGTTTTGTAATCAATATATACATTAAAACACACGTTTGAAATTATAACGTATCGGTGCGGCTCAGGGGGTTGGGGTCGGCAGTTATATTGAACGGTCTCTCTCTCTCTCTCTCTCTCTCTCTCTCTCTCTCTTACGGTCCGAGACCTCAAGTAGTCGTAATGATTGTCTAATAATGGGGTAAAAGCAATGCTTTCTCTATTCATGTTATGATTCTTTCCATCACGTGTTTAGCCGTCCATTCTCTGGCAATACCTGTGCCAACAATATTAGATCTATCCCTCTATTCATACAATACATGTGTGCCGTATATACTGTATATACAGTACTGTTATTGTATGCAAATTTCTATTATTCGGAGCACAACCTGTAATGAATGACCAAAGGAGTGGTCGTTCAGTGCATACCCCGAGAGCGCAACACAACCACTGCCAGTGCCCTCAAACTATCCGTGCGCTCACATCCCAAACACACAACTCTGTGTTTCCCACGTATTTCTCATTCAATTTTTTCCCATTTCTTTGACGACGACAACGAAGACGATGATGAGGAGGACGACGACCACCTGAGCCGCACCGATACGTTATAATTTCAAACGTGTGTTTTAATGTATATATTGATTACAAAACTAATTAAACATTGTCTAGACTTATGCGATACCCCGACAGCCCTTCCCTATCAATCCCCTTAATATCTCTTCGTCCACACTATTAGTGAACATTCCTATTGTATTGGACTATAATTTTCATTGTATTCCTCTTTGGCTATTACTTCTTCAGTTGTCTTCTTTCCGCCACTTCTTCTTCGCATACAATATAATCAATGGATTTATTGACGGAAAACACCCAAAAAGTCAATATCGATGCTTCAAAAAACACTACACATTACTATCGGTTGTTGGAAAATAGTAGTAAAGTATACATTATATACCTTTACAGGTATACAATATGTAACAGTAAACGATAGT